GAATTCTGTCCAACCATTGGCCAATTTATGAAGAAATTAACACGATTTTTCCTAGTCGTGGCCGTGTGGCGAACAATTTGATGTCTATTATTGAATCAAAGCTATAATAAGTATTGCACTTAAATACATTTGTAAGTATATTAATTACAACTAATGTTAACAAAGAAGCTATATTTGTTCTTGAGCATTTATTTTATTTTAATTTTAAAAATAATAAAACACTAAGAAACCTAGTAGCACTGCCAGAAATCAAAATAGAAATGTTTAGGGCAGGTCCCTAGTACCGATCTATACTAATTTATAACAAAATCCCGGAAAACATAAAAGAAGAAATTAAATTAAATTAATATTTATTGCTTAAAATGTGGCACATACTCGTATGTGGTTTTTACTGTCTTTAGGATTAGTTTCACACATTTTGTCATTTCTGACATGCAACAGACAAACAGATGTCAATTTTGGTTATTGTTTGTTAGTCAATATTAAGTACGTACATTATTTATAATATGAGTATGTCAATTTCGTATTAATGAAATATTTATAAATTGTACATGTCAATGTTTTTAATTAAGTAAGTACTCCTGAACACTGTAGTAAGATTTGCTGATCAGCTATCTATTTATTTATTTATAACTCTTTATTGCACCATAAAAAAAAACAATATTCATAGTATACAGAAAGGTAGGCTAGGTACAAAAGGCGGTCTTATCGCTAAAGCGATTTCTTCCAGACAACCTTTGGGTCGAGGAGAAAAGGCAGAAGATGGTGGATGGCGCAAGATAAAATGATTAGACATCTATGTAGTTCTTTCTTGAATTTATTTCGACATAAATTTACAATTTCACTTAGCAATTTATTATATATTTTAATCGCCATGGCGTGACAGTTTGAGCTGCATAATGACGTCTTTATAGACGGTAACATCAATTTGTCTTGTGTATTGTCCTGTTTTTACTGGAAATATCTTGTCTCCGTTTGAACAGTTCAGGATGCAGTCTTACAATTTGGCATATTTCATAGATATACATACAAGGCAAAGTCAATATGTTGAGCCTTTGAAACAATGTCTTACAAAAAAAAGTTAATTTATTTAAAAAAAGGCTCAAAGATTTATTGACTGCAAAGACTTACTATACTGTAAAAGAATTCTTAGCAGACGTACTGTAGGAGCTATGCACACTTCAATTTCGTCCTATTTTTTTTTATTGGGTTGTTTGGGCTATTCTCAGATGGTTGTAGCACTTGTAGCACGGCGACCTACATAGATCTATTGTGCTCGCCCTTTTTCAAAGTTCGCTACCTAGACCCTTCAGGGACAAGAATTGAAGGATATTTATTTTATCTCCTCGGGAAAAAGTTTAAACTTTCCAAAGGAGATATTTCCTTTATGCATGAGTGGGCTACAACCACATGGGATGTGTAGTGGCGTTTTCTCTTCAATTTCGTCCTAACAAACATAAAGACTAAAGTATGCAGTGTCATCTATGAAATTGCTACACTCCTTAAACAGAGTCCATGTGTATATTATTAATTTGTTATCTATATGTAAAATCTAACTATATATAACTCAAAGGTGACTGACGTAGTGATTTATCAACGCAAAGCCCAAACCACTGGATGGATCGGGCTGAAATTTGGCATGCAGGTAGATGTTATGACGTAGGCATCCGCTAAGAAAGGATTTTGATTATTTCTACCCCCAAGGGATTAAAATAGGGGATGAATGTTTGTATGAAACTTTGACAATTTTAAATCGATCGGGCTGAAACTTTGCATGAACGTAGGCATCCCCTAAGAAAGGATTTTTATAAATTCCACCCCTAAGGGGATAAATTAACGCGAGCAAAGCCGCGGGCAAAAGTTAGTTATTGTAAATGTATGAAAAATAAAAATAAAAAAATTATTATTAAAGTTCACTGTATGATACAAAGTGTAGGATGATAAGATAAGTATCAAGTCAAGTCAGTAGGCTCATGAATTCCCAAGATTAACATCTTACCGTGAAGGTTGTGACTATATTGCCAGCAAAGGGGTCAATAGTGCCTTTCCTCCGGTTACTGAGGACTAGGATCTTAAGGCTGCGTACCAAAACGGTACAATAATTTAGTTCAATATGTTTTTATGATTCACCAATATTGTTATCAACAAATGTTTGTTAATCTCAGAGATTAAATTGACAGGTGTAAATATCAAATTTTCGTATAATGTTACCAGCTGTTGCAAAATAGTGATGTACCTGCCGTACTGATTTGATGAATCGTACATCATACGGTTTTTTTTTTATTTTGATGTATAGTTTGAAAGTTTTATATTTTATATATGTTTCCAAAACATATATTTCAAAAATGTACGTACGTACACTAGTATTGCCATTACTGTAGAAATAGAAATAAAAATAATCTTTATTCAAATAAACTTAATATAAACACTTTTTAATAGTCAAGTTTTATTATCAAGTTTTGATTCTACCGCTCATACGGAATGCAGAATCATCACAAGAAAAATGTGAAAGAAACTTGTGTGTTGCCCTTTTAAATAAATGTTGATTTACTTATATTTAATTAACAACAATTACAAATCAATTATTTTTTTAAACAGCTAAGATATTTTAAATAGTTATGTTTTATGAAATATGACACCAAACGAAGGATATTTGTTTTATAAAAAAAGGCAGTCATTTTTTTAGTGAAATAAGTATGTCAATAAAACAAACTACATTAATTTATCAACTCTATATGTATTATTCATACTTTATTAATTTTGTGTTAATGTGTTGTAAATAAACACTGACACATAATTTCTGAGTAAAGCTATAATAATCGGTAATTAACATTAATTTCCGATAGTGCCACAACCTTATTCAGGAATCGTAAGTTGGCAACATAACATAGGTAATATCAAATTTGTCTCTGAAATAATAAAACAAACTATAGCTATAGCCTTCATTTATAATTAGAGCAATAAAAAAAATTTCAAGAGAAAAAATTGAGTGAAACATGAATAATAATAATAATAATCTCAAGTCAATTCACACAGCGCCATCTAGACCCAAGTTAAGCTAGTTAAAGTTTGTGTTATGGGTACTAGACAACTGATACAAATACATAGAATTGTAAAAAAAAAGAATTGTCCGGATTCGATAAATTTCTATCTGGCAACCCTAGTTACAACAGAGAGCTTCAAGTGGTAAACTCACCAGGAATTACTGACGGTTACGCTGATCTAGAAGTTTGAAATATATTTCATGGCGTTCATGATGCCATGTAGCCATGTTATATAGCTAAGTAGCTGAGTATATATATACCACTCCTATTTTATTCTGATTTCAGATAATACAACATACCACAAGCAAAAGTGCAACACGCAAGTTTCTTGCTCGTTCTTCTTGTGATGAGACACCTTTCCAAATGAGCGATATATTAAAAGAATGATAACTGACTATTCTAAAGTGCTTAATAGAATAGAATAGAAAATCATTTATTCAAATAAACATAATTTAAGCACTTTTGAATAGTCATAAAAAATTTTTTATCTACCGCTCGTTCGGAAATCTGTCTCATCACAAGAAGAACGAGCAAGAAACTTGTGTGTTGCTCTTTTAAATAATCCTTGTAAGTTTACATTTACAAGTCGAAACGTGTGAATACAAACAACCAACCAGCACAAATTTTTTGGGTCAAATATATATATACAATAAGATTAAATCAGTCGTAGTGATAAGAGCAGACCAGTCACTACAAGCAGCACTCGTTCACGAGTATGACGGATGAGCCAGCCATCACTGCGCTCGATCATATTTTAGGGAGCCCAATGACTTAAATTAAGTTTATTTGAATAAATCAAATAGAAATATTCTTTATTCAAATAAACTCATTAGAAGCACTTTTGTATAGTCATATATTGATTCTACTACTTATTTGGAATGCAGATTCATCACAAGAATAATGAGCAGGAAACTTGTGTGTTGCTCATTTAATTGTAATTATTCTCTTCCACTACAAAGAAAACGACGTGTTCTTCCATAGATCGATTTATTTATAGTATAACCTTCATATTTACAGAGAAATGCAAACGCGTGCGAACAACTGCGGTCGCACGATCAAATTATAACATAAATAAAATATAACATCACATAGTCACCTATGTTTATTAATATTTGGCAACACGTGGGCGGGCGGCGCCCTACATTACACACATATAATCAAATTTATATAACATTATTATTATTTATTTATTTATTTATACTCTCTCGCGTCGCAACTTACCTACAGATTTATTTAATAGATTTAAACTAACATGTGACTGATAGAAAATACTATACTTAAACAATGTTTATTTAGTCTTAGATTAATTTGATGTAAAACTTAACTATGCTAGCCATCACATATATTAAATTGTTGTCATACATACACTCACACACACACATGCACACACACACACAAAGTAACAAAGTTTACTTGGGTGCGACACCTATAACAGGTCACGGAAATTGCATTCGAACAAAATTATTTTGTATTAAATTGATAAAATACATATAAACATATTAGTATAAATTAAATAAAAACAGGATGTCGAGTGAACTGGGTGACACGGGCATAGCTGGAGCATACATTCAAGTGATATCTCTATGATATCTCTAGCTGGCTACATTCAAGAGAATTGCTACGAAATCATTTTTTTATGAGAGATTGTCTCTCATTCTCTATTCATTCGATATCACTCAAATGCAAATAAGACCCAATTATTTCAGCGCTAACCGTGTCTGTTTGTATTTTTCGTTCTCGTAATTAAATTTACAATAAAAACATTTATTTATATTGCATTATTTACTTTTATAATTTTATAAGAATATATTATTTTTACCATTATTTATAAATAATCAAAACAGTTATACATAGCGAATTAGTTGTCATACATAAAAACGAATATGGTGAAAGTATTTTAACATGCTTACCCTGTTATTTTGTAGTTATGTATACTGTATTATGTATACATATATATATATATATATATATATACTTACTTGTAAAAACATATTCCTAATATTTGGCAAGTTTATTAAATGCACCTAGTTTGTAGAGTTATAAGAACAGAACGCACACGTGCAATACAACTTTATATTTAACAAAATATTGCCATTTAATTTATATTACAATACAATTAACCACTACGCATGTCACATGGAGCTTTCAATTTTATCCTAGAAATAGTCGTCGGTTTTGAAACGTCATTCTCTATTTCTATCTCTAAAATGAGTGATTAGAGATAGAGACGTGACATTCAATAACATGTGGAGAGAGATCCTTTCAGGCTCTCTTAAATTGGTTAATTTTAGAGACAATTTAGAGAACGGCACTTCGAAACCGGCGCACGTCTACAAAATGACTTAATTTTCACGTAAAAAAAATAGCACAAATTGCTACATCTACTAAATTCTTCTTACAATTCGTGGAATGTACTTTCAAGTCATGGAGTTAAATTACATGTTTCAATACATCTAGGTATCAATATAATCAGTTCGCTGTTAGCTTTACAGAACACAAAAGAGACTCCTCGGCGGATCGTACGAGCTAGGCAAAACTATACCTACGTCGTTAGACAATATACAATACGCTAGGAATGCAACACGACAGGAATGGTACGGTACAGTCTTATAGTTAATCGAGAAATAAAACATTTGGTAACAGCTACGGCACGACTGTACTTCGCTCAGTGGTCCACATTAACATCGAACATCACGTGCGCCTCCACGGGGCGTACACTCTAAAAGTAAAGCGCGAATTCAACAGATCTACCGTGTAAGACACACAAAATATTATACTCTACATTACGATAAATAAACTCGCCGGTACGACTCGTAAGTGTGTGCGGGGCGCGGCGAGCGCGGGAGCTACTACTATGTACACGGCGCCGCCCGCCGCCCGCCGCCCGCCATTTGGTCAACTAGCAACGACGCCCGTCGGAACTTCATTAAACTAGACTTAACCGAGTGAGATTCTGTCGCGAGGCGGGGACGCACTCGCCCGCCCGGGACGAACTCGCCTACCCGGTGACGAGAGCGACGCGAACTCGCCCGCCCGGGAACGAGAGCGAGACGAACTCGCCCGCCCGGGAACGAGAGCGAGACGAACTCGCCCGCCCGGGAACGAGAGCGAGACGAACTCGTCCGCCCGAGAGCGAGGCGAACTCGGCCGGCCGGGGAGAGGGCGGCGCACTCAACTGCCGAGCGAGACGACGGTGGGTCGGTCGGCGCGGTCGTCGGCGCGGCGGTAGTCGTCGTCGTAGAGCGCGTGGTGCGCGTGCGCGGGCGGCGGCTCCTCCAGCTTGAGCGTGTGCTGCACGTAGTAGTTCATGGCCAGCGGCGACCGCGGGCCCCCGCCCCCGCCCCCGCCCCCGCCCGCCTCCACGCCCGCGCCCACGTGGTGCACGTCCACTGCAAACACATCACCATCTTATTGTTTTTAACGAAACTGGAATATACGACCGGCTGGCGGCGCGGGACTGCATACATGTACCTTGCGCCGCCGGCGTCACAGAATACATCGTGACGCCCGCAGTATCTAGGAGCAAGACTGTGGTCTGAATTGCTGTGTCTTCGGACCCTATAATTCCCCTGCCATATCTCCCGTTCTGATACACAACTTACAAAGCAAGTCACTTAACAAAAGAAAAAGGAGTCCGGATTCACGTTGTAGTCGATATTCCCTCAATTTCCCTGCCTAATCCTACAACCGAAACACACTTCACAAAACAAGCTACATACATGGCGACTAAAGATAGGTGACAGTCTAACTCCAGTAATTATAAATAATTGTAATATTTGTCCTATAATACACTAGAAAACTTAGTAAAAGTAATTTTTATACAGATACCAAATAAATAAGTTTCAACGTAATATTGAACTCACCTAAGTTATCCATTTTACGTGCAAGGAGCGCAGCATTTTTGGAATTCCTCTCGGATTTCATTGTGTTCTTAGGTTTTCGTTTCCGCGTCTGAAAACAGCGTGCATGTTGAATTAAAGTGTAAGAAAAACACTCGCATCGTTATTATCTTTCGTACCTGGAGGTACTATCCTAAGGAAGATTATGTTTCCACTCGTTCGGAAAAATGCTAACAGTTGACTATTCGACTTAAAGGTGAAAACCAAAACAATCTTTATATATAAAAATTACGTGTCATGTTGTTTGTCCGCGATGGACAGACGTCCAGTAGTCCAGGGTTCAATAGTTTAGGAAAACTACTGAATCGATTGCAAATTTGATTCGCACATTGTGTGCAATTTGATCCAATTTGAAAGATAAGATTGCTTATGTCTCAATTTATGGTCGCAACATTATTTTATCCCAAATTTTTTGTCTATTATTAACCACAGCAGTGTGGCCGGGTCTGCTAGTGGTACCGACCTGTATGGAGTCCTTCTTCATGGCCATGGGCCTGTTGATGCTGTGCAGCTTGTAGTAGAGACCGCAGGCGTTGCACACGGTCTCCCCGTGCGCGTTGCGTCGCCACAGAGAGGTGGTGGTCGTGTGACAGTTGCTGCACGACATGCCCGGCCGCTTGGCGCCCATCTGTACACCACACACCGCGCACTGTACTCTGCGCTCCACACTACTCTGTGCCGCACCGGCGCAGACTAGTGGATACTTCATTTGACAGCAATCAAGCAAAACATTTATATACCTCGTTACGACCAGCAAGACGTCTCATTTTGTATCCACTGATTGTAATAATTACGTAATGTTACGTTGAGACATTCGAACTTCTTTTATGATGATAACATTTTAGTCTACGCTACTAATTTTAGGGCGTAAAAGACACCGCTTTATGATAATCGCAACAGCATTCATTTTGCGTAACCCGCCGAGTTTGGCAGACCTTTTGCGCGGAAGGCGTAATATTGGACTCGCAAAGTTTTCGTCGAGCGGTTTATACAAAGTAAATACTATCATGAATCCTGTAAAGCGGGGCCTCGGCGCCCTCGTAGACTCCAGACGTCTCACTAATCCGAACGAGAAATATTTATCTCAGCGAATAAAGCTCAACGGGTGACTTAGCTCTCTCTCATTAGGGGTTACCGTAAGTCTATGTTAGTAGAGTGAAGTAGAAGCGATGAGTGTTAGGATAATGCGCGGGGGGAGGGACGGTCGGGTCGAGGGGGGACGTACCCCTTTCTTCTGTTTGTAGTCGGAGGGGGTGGAGGTCTGGAGCGCGCCGAGCGTGGGCGGGTGCGGGGGCGGCGGCGCGAGCCCGTTAAGCAGGAAGCCCTTGTAGAAATCCGCGCCCGGCGGCGCCCCCTCCGCGGCCACTGTAACAACACGCGCGTCACTGCGGGCCCGCCGCGGGGCGGACGCTCGGCGGGCGCGGATTGGGCGGAGAGCGAGCGGAGGGCGGAGAGCGAGCTAGGGCGGGCGGCGAGAGCGAGATGCTGCGTACGTCGTGGGCGGGCGCGGCCAGCGCGTGCGCGGCGAGCCGCTGACGTACCAGCCGCCGCGGCTGCTTCAGCGGGCGGTTCATGCCGTTCATCTTGTTGTAGAGGCCGCACGCGTTGCACAGGTAGTGGCCCGTGCCGTCGCGGCGCCACAGCGGCGTGTGGATGGCGCCGCAGTTCACGCACTCGCGGCCCTCCGTGAAAAACTCCGCCATCTCGACTGCGCGCAACACACCGCTCGTTAGCCCACCTCACCACACCCCTACTCCTCACTCCTCACTACTCTCTCCTCACTCCCGGCGACTGGCGCCGTGCTATGCGACTACCGAGCGTCCGTTCCTACTCACTAGGCGCCTAGGGGACCTCGTGCCGCATCGAACGTGAAGCCAGAGGTCCCCGTAGGTGTTACCGATTTATGCTTACACATGTGACGGATGCGTCACGTTTATGTCGCCGAGGAGACAAAGAAAATCGCTGCGACAGCGAAACGACGAACTTCGTAGCCTTGGCAATGACTGTGATTCATTGATTGACACAAAATGATGATTTGCAGTATTAATTAATAATAAGTCGGCACGTGAGAGCGCGTCGCGACGCAGCACGTCCGCGCACCACACGCACACGACATACTCACAAACTTATTTGTTATATTATTACAATAACATCATATTACGATTTAGGTAAATTTAAGTTTTAAGTAAACAACCTTTGCTTCGTATTATTAAAACAAAAATTATGCCCATTATTACTCGTATCAATTAATGTACCACAGTGTTTTATGCAGCACATATTTCAAATTTAACAATTTACTTTTTCTTATATATATTATAATTATAGTCCATAACATGATATACATTTAATATACATAGAATGTATGTTGGTCACAGCACAGATAGCATATTACAAAAATAAATAGAAAGCTATAATAGAATATGGTAAGGTAATACACACTGTAACTTGTAACTAACTTAATTGCAAATATTTAACCGATTCAGGTGTTATTTTGCGGAAGTCCATTTCACTATTTAATAGATTTATATTATTTTCTTTAATTCCGCAACAATTAGCATGTGTGAGACCACAAGTACTGGGTGTGGAAACTGGACTACCGTTACGACCTTCTCTAATGGCGATCAAATTCCGACCGTTATTGAGTCTACACCCATATTATATTGAGACTTGACACCCCAGCCGCATCTAATGAAAACTTCAATAGCTAACTCGTTCCCTAATCTGTGAAATCGCTGAAGGAAGTTCCTCTGAAACCATATATAACTCAAAGGTGACTGACGTAGTGATCTATCAACGCACAGCCCACACCACCGGACGGATCGGGCTGAAATTTGGCAAGCAGGTAGATGTTATGACGTACGCATCCGCTAAGAAAGGATTTTTATTAATTCTGCACTCAAAGGGATAAAATAGGGGATGAAAGTTTGTATGAAACTTTGTCAATTTTAAACCGATCGGGCTGAGAGTTTGCATGCATAAAGCTACTATGACGTAGGCATCTCCTAAGAAAGGATTTTGATAAATTCCATCCCTAAAGGGATAAATTAACGCGAGCGAAGCCGCGGGCAAAAGTTAAAGCTATGTTTGTCATTTCTTCGTTTATCCATTTCGGATTTGTGTAACTATATGTATAGTTAGTCAGTTTTGTTGTATGTTGATGTATTAACTAGAAGTGTATGAATGTTATGACCAAGGGCATCGACACTGTTGGGGTCAGAGCGCTGCGAGTGGTGTAACGAGAGCCGCCGGTCCTCGGCTCATTGTTCGTTGCGGACGCGGGCGCCTTTTCTATGGAATTCGCGACCGTTAGGTGAGGAGGTGCTGGCGCAGCATTCGCGTTTGTTTACCTCGACATACGCTGACCTGACCTATATACGATTACGTCCTACCGGTAGGGAACCCATTTGTTAATGAAACACTACGACTGATATTAATACAATTCGATTAAACTCTTTAAATGAGAATGAGCTGAATGAGTAGTAGAGTAAAAGAAGTGTGACTATTCAAAAGTGGTTATATTAAGTTTATTTGAATAAAGAATTCATTTCTCTGGCGAGCTAGCAACAAATTTAATAAATTATCTAAAACTGTTAACGTAGATTTTTTTTAATAATATTAAATCAGCGAGACATCAACTAAGTGAGATCTTCTTTAAATAACAATTAATTATTATTGAAGATCATGTAAATGTATATATATATATATATTTGTATAATTCACTATTTGTTACTGTACTCTCGTTAATTAATTTCATATTCTCTGTTAACTTTATGTGTTTTTGCCTTTACATGTAGTGATGTAATTTTTTTAGAATTAGTCTGTTGTTATTAGTGAAAGTCTGTCAGTGGCTTAGTATAACGTATATATTGATTTTATTTAAGATGCATTAAAATAGCCTTGGTTTTCTTTTAATAAATAAATAAAATAAAATAAAAAAATAAAGATTATTTCTATTTCTATACTTTGTACTTAATGTAACGCCCAGTACAAGTTAAAAAATAACCGAGCTACAACGGTTTTGTCATAACATGTTGTGCGCGCAGTAAATAAAAATAATTATCTGTTGAACATATAATATGAAGTGGTTAATAAATCAGATAACAATATTAGTTCGGTGCTGGTAGGTACCTACATATTCCATGCGTTGCGTCATTCATAAACCGGATTTAAATTATATTTAACTTTAAATAGTGTAAGTAATAAATTAACAAACGCCTCCGAGCGTTGCCATCGTAAACAGATATCATGTTGCCGGCCGCAGAACAGATCTCACTGTAGCGACGGCTCAGGTTACGGTCGATGGTCATCAATTATTTGTATTATTGTTGGGTGTAACACGAGCCGGCCATGTGCCACCATCGACCACCACTCACCACTCATCACTGCGCACTCTGATGCTGTACAGTACGCGGCCACAACCCGATTTTTTCAATGATTTTTTTCAAATTTAAAATATGTTTATTCATGTAGGTCTATTACAGACTTATGATATGTCAAATCTACCGTCAGTTTCGGAATGATTTCGAGATGACAAGAACTGACAAGTCAGCTCGTATTCTTATCACCGCCACTTATCATTACATAGTATAAAACAAAGTCGCTGTCGCTGTCTGTCTCTATGTATGCTTAAATCTTTGAAACTACGCAACGGATATTGAAGCGATTTTTTTAATAGATAGAATGATTCTAGCGGAAGGTTTATATATATATATATACATGTACATCCGGGCGATGCCGGGGCGAATAGTAAAATATTTTGGTGTACCTTACATCCACCAAAATGTTTTTTTTTTCAATTTTTGTTTGTCTGCCTGTCTGTCTGTTTGTTCCGGCTAATCTCTGAAATGGATGGACCGATTTTAACGAGACTTTTATTGGTAGGTAGTTGATGTAATAGAGAGTAACTTAGGCTACTTTTATTTTAGAATAATAAAGTTAAATTCCACGCGGACTAAATCGCGGGCACAGCTTGTAATATTAATAAATATAGATGTAGGGGTTTTAACGAGATATTGTCAGTTCCTGATTACTAAATAGTGATAATGTAAGTACATAAATTATAGAGCCACAGTGTAAATAATAATAAATAATTAATTACAGTGTAATAACGCACCACTGCTGAAATCTAAGGTCTTGTAATCATGATGTGTATAAAATTATAAGTTATATTCCTCAGCGATAGTAATTTGAAACTATTCGTAATATTTGTTGTTATCGTATGTTTATATTAAGTTATCTTTGTATTAAGTTATTACAGAATTGAATCATTACATAGTATAAAACAAACAAACAAACTGTCTGACGCTATGTATGATTAAATCTTTAAAACAGATTTTGAAGCGAGTTTTTTAATTTATATAAACCTTCCTCTTGAATAAATTTTCTTTTTTTTCTTACTATCAATTTGAGGCTGTACTTATAATTAGATTATCAGATCATTATGTATTTATTTATATGTATATTCTTTATAGAAATTTATATTTTAATATTTTGTTTTATATTCATAAATTTTTTTTTGACACACCCTATTTATATTAGTGCACCGCCTAAAATCTTTCTCTGCACCACTCATGGTTGCCTGGTAGATAACGCCGCATGGTGTTAAGTCCGCCATATGTACCTACACATTGTTTTTGTGCATTAAACTTAAAGCAAGACATATATATATATATAATACATTTCAGCGGCATGTCTACATACTCTGTTATTACTCGACCTAACTACCTAATACAACTGTTGGAATATCAATTTCATTTTATAATTACTCATTACGCTCATTATTCCATTGTTTAAGTATTTGTTACATTATTAAATATTATTATTGTTTGATATTTGTTTATATTTTATGATTCCTGCGTTTCAAGTTAATGGTTTAACGGAATTATTATGTTTTGTATTTATGTATTCTAATATAATGTAGCTGATATAAAATTATTTATATAGTTCAATCCTAACATAATCTAAATATATATAACTCAAAGGTGACTGACTGACGTAGTGATCTATCAACGCACAGCCCAAACCACTGGACGGATCGGGCTGAAATTTGGCATGCAGATAGATGATATGACGTAGCAATCGTCTAAGAAAGAATTTTGATCAATCCTATCCCCAAGGGGATCAAATAGGGGATGAAAGTTTGTATGAAACTTTGTCAATTTTAAACCGATCGGGCTGAGACTTTGCATGTATAAAGCTACTATGACGTAGGCATCCTCTAAGAAAGGATTGTGGAGCATCATTCCACTATCATAAATTATAAAAAATTATATATATCCGATGAGCTTGTATATATTACGTGTCGTGCTATTGTCTCTGCCTACCCCAACTGAGGACCGGGATAATGATTCACAATATACCGAGAGACGTTAATACCTAGTAGTTAATATACATTTAGCAAGTAGCTGTGTTTATTTATCTGCAGACTGTCAGATCAGTCTCGGCTCGACTATGACGGGACACCGTGACGTCACGGCGCAAACACGCGTGTCGTGACGCGAGCCCTCGGGCTCCGCTGCGATAAGAGCCCTGCACTGCAGAATAGGGATGGGAGCTCCTTAACGGTAACCAAAACTATGGGATATCTATACATATAAATAAAATTGTAGTGTCTGTTTGTAATATTGAAATAACCGTTTTTTACTACATGCATATGAATATAAATATGGTATTCGTACATAGACCAAAATATTTCTTTTTACAATTTTT